TGTTTTTTTCAAAGAACAAACTGATTGATTCTGTGTGTTTTTCCATTAGTCTCCATTTCATTAATTTCTGCAGTGATCTTTATTATTTCTTACTATCTACTGGTTTGGGATTTGACTTCCTCTTGTTTTTCTAAGACCCTGAGGTGCATATAGGGTTATTTATTTGGGATCTGTCTGAATTTTACTCGTAGCTATAAATTTCCCCTCTGTCAACACCTTAATGGTATTTCAAAGATTTTAGTAAGTTGTCTTTCATTTTGTTTGAGTCTAGGGTTCTTAACTCCTTCCTAGTTTCATCAATGACCCACTGCTCATTCAAAAATTTATAGTTCAGTCTCCAAATATTTCTGTGATTTTAGTGGGCTTTTGTTTCTGTTGATTTCTACTTTTTTCCACAATGATCTGATAAGATACAACATATTATTTCAATTCCTTTGCATTTCTTAAGACCTAATTTGTGATCTAATAATTCCACAGGCTGCTGAGAAGAATGTACATGCTGTATCCACTGCATGGACTCTCTAGTAGATAGCTGTTGAGTTCATTGGATTGATGATATACTTTAACTCTGCAGTTCTTTATTGACTTCTAGTTTGGAAGATCTATCTGAAAATGAGAGTGGGGTGTTAAAGTCACATTTCTATTGAATGAGGACCTATGTAACATTTTATGCCCATTAGTGCTGTCATATGAAACAGTTCACCCCAACATTTGGCCCATGTTATTTACAGTAGTAATAACTTCCTGATGAATTTTCCCTTTATTGCATTATTGCGTGCAGTGACCTTCTTTATCTCTTCTGACCAGTTTTTTATTGTTGTTGCTGTTTTTTGTGGGGGGGTTATTTTTGAATTTTGTTTGGGTTTTTTTTTTTTTTTTTTTTGGTCTTTTTAAGACAGGGTCTCCCTATAACCCCTGTAGCCCCAGCTGGCCTGGATCAATCAAGCTGGCCTTGAACTCAAAGATCCACCTGCCTCTGCCTCCCAAGTGCTGGGATTAAAGGCATGGGGCAGCATGCCTGGCTCTCTTCTGACCAGTTTTGAAGTCTGCTTTGTCAGATATCAGATATCAGAACAGCTATGCTAGCTTCTTTTCAACTTTGATGCTGAGACATTTTACTCAGTATGTTCCTTGGGGACAAAAGATAGTTGGATCTTGGGGCTGGAGAGATGGCTCAGTGGTTAAGAGCACTGACTGTTCTTGCAGAGGACCCGAGTTCAATTCCCAGCACCCATGTGGCAGCTATGAACCGTCCTTAACTCCAGTTCCAGGGGAATCCGAAGCCCTGCTGACCTCTGCGGCATTGCATGACACATGTACACTCACATACATGCAGGCAATATACTCATACACATGAAATAAAAAAAATAAACAAAAAACATATTTTAAAAAGATAACTGGATCTTGAGCTGGACATGGTGGCACACACCTTTAATCCCAGAACTTGGGAGGTAGAGGCAGGCAGATATCTGTGAGCTCAAGGCCAGCCTGGTCTACATAGTAAGTTCAGGCCAAAAAAAACCACCCCCCAACCCCCCCCAAAAAAACCAAAAAAAAAAAAAAAAAAAGCTGGATCTTATATTTTAATCTAGTCAACTAGTCTGTGTCTCTAGATTGGTGAATTGAAGTCATTTACATTCAAGGTTAATATTGAAAAAAGTTTGATAAATCCTATAATTTTATTGATCATGTGTCTAGCTCATTGGATTATAATCTTTTCTTTCTCCTCTTCTTGTATCAGTGGGATTGCTGGTAGACATGATAGAGTCTTAACTACATATATTTTTTTCCTGTGCCTTATAATTGAGGTTATCTTCTTCCTCTTCTGTTTAGTACTCCTTTAAGCATCTTCTGCAGTGCTGGTTTGGTGTTCATGAACTGCCTTTGTTTGGGCTTGTTATGAAATGCCCTATTTCTATCAAATTTAAAAATACATCTTTTCTGGATATAACAATTTGGGGTAGAAGTTATTTATGTCCATGGTTTGAAATATGTTGTTCCCCGCTTTCCTGGCTTTGGGGGCTGCTGATGAGATGCCTGGTGTTATTCTTCTGTATTTGTCCTTGTAAGTCAGTTGGTATTTCATGAGAATGTTTGCTGTCCTTTCACTGAATAGATTCTCTATGCCTTTAGCTTTTAGCTTACCTTCTTTGTCCCGTGAATTCTTGTATTTGGTCTATTGATCATATACCAGAATTTGGAGGTTGTGTTGGTGCTTATTTTTTTCTTGGTATTTGAGCATAAGATTTCCTCATCATTGTCCTCCACTTGTAGTATTTTTTCTTTGGTTTTGTCCAGTCTATAGTAGCAGCTACTGTTGTGTCTTTTGACTGAGGTGTTTTTGTTTTTTCCCATTTCTAGTATTCCTATTAGGCTTTTTTCAAAATCTATTCCTTGTTGAATTTCTCCTCCATTTTGCTGTTCCCATCTACACTGCTGATTATTTCCATCTATTTTGCACATTTTCTTCTCTGTGCTGCTAATTTCCTCTCCAGATCCTAATTTCATTACCTCATTCATATGCTTGTTCGAATCTCTTTGAGTTCATTGGTCATTTTGATAATAAACTTTTGAGATCTTCATCTAACATTTGACCCATTTCAGTACCTTTGAATTCATGAGTTATAGTTAATGAGCTCTAATGTTTCCATGATTCTTATGTTTCTGTTATAATTTGTGGACTTCTTGGTTTGAATATCTCTTCAGATTTTATTTGGGGATCTTCGTGAGCACTGTTGAAGTCTCAGACTCCAGCACCACTCAGAGAGGAGGCTGCAAACTGCTGCAGCAGCAATGATACCAAACCACACAATATGTAAAATGCACTTAAAATCAATGAACACTCACTAATTGCCATAGAAAAAAAGAACATGACAAATTAGTGTAAAATGTGCTACAAAGCTAAAAAAATATTTAGGATAAATGCAGAAATAGCACAAGATGAGGTAAAGGAAGTGAGGAGGGAAAGCAGAAGTTAGAGCAGACTCAAGCTCAAATAGGTGAGAGGAAAAGGGAGAGAACAATATGATGAAGGGGAAGAGAAAACAGCAAAAGATTGGAAAATAAAGCAATTTTTAATGATTTCCTAGTAAGAAAAAAGTATCAAAATTGGATACATATATGAAGCACAATAAACTAAAAAATAAAAAATCTTTAAAAAAAAATATGGGTTGAAGAGATGACTCAGTGGTTAAGAGCACTGGCTGTTTTTACGGAGGACCTGAGTTCAGCTCCCAGCTCAGATGGGAGCTCACAACTATATGTAGCTCCAGTTCCAGGGACTCCAACACCCTCTTCTGGGTCTCCATGGGCACTGCCTGCATGTAGTATACTTATATGCATGCAAAACACTTATACATAAAATAAAGACAAATAAAATATATTTTTTAAAAAGTAAGATAAAGCCAGCCAGGCATGGTGACACCTGCCTTTAATCCTAGCACTCAGGAGGTAGAGGTAGATGGATCTCTGGTCTACATAGTGAGCTCTGGGCCAGCTAGGGTTACAGGGAGACCTTTCCTCAAAAAGATTTTTTTTTAAGTAATAATAAAATAAGGTAAAAAGTTAAAGTGAGTATATTACTAAAAGTAAAGGAAAATGGAAAATTGTCATGCACAGTGCTAAGCAAGAACAAAATAAATTACTTTGAGCTCATCCCCAGCAAAGAAACCTAAAAAGGAATTTTGGCTGGCAATATAGCTCAGTAGTAGAGCACTTCCTTAGTATGATCAAGGCCCTGGGTTCAATTACTCAGAAAGAAAGATGGCATGGAGGGAGCTGAGGAAGGCACTGGACTCTGATCTCTGGTCTCCACACACAAACAGATGTGCACTCGTACCCACATATACACACAAAACATATGTGCATCCCACACTATGTTAAAATAAAAAAGGAAGGAAGGAAGGAAGGAAGGAAGGAAGGAAAGAAGGAAGGAAGGAAAGAAGGAAGGAAGGAAGGAAAGTAAAGAAGATTGCCCAACAATGAAAAAAAAATCTGTAAACAAAATTAGGTAAGTGCATGAAGGAGAATTTTTAAAAACATAATTTTTTAATAAAATGAAGTAAAAATACTACTAAAGTGTAGTGAAAAAGAAAAAGGGGAGAAACAGGGTGGGGGCCAAAAAGAACCAAGTTAAAAATGAAGTGTTGGAGTGGCTTGATGCTAAGTCCTTGAAAATTAGAGGCTGCGTCAATAATGTGGGTTACACAGGTTTCTGTCTCACTCCCCAGTACACACCCCCTGGGGTAGCTAACAGTCTAGCTCTGGAGGGTGTCTCCAAGTAGGTTGGGAGTAGTAAAAGCAACAGCCACCCTGGTATCTGTGGAAGCAGACCTATCTTTTTTACCTTCAAAATCCACTAAGTATTAACCACCAGGCTAAAGGGATAAGACTATAGAATGCAAATAATCGGCTGGAACTTGAGAGTTCTCAGACTCGCAGCAGTGAGCCACACCACAGACAGGTGGCCCGCTGCTAACCTCAGACTCAAACTCCAGAGTTCCTCTCAGTTAATGAGGTCTGCTCCCAGACTGGACTGCCTTTCTCGCTACATTTCACTACCTAGGGGGAGACTCCTGCTGACTGCTCTTTTTTGGCTCCTCAGCGCCAGTGTTCCCAGGAACTCTCTACAACTGCTTCCTAGGGCTGAGAGTTCATTCTCAAGATGGCATGCAGCACAGCACTGAGCCAGGGGAATCTTCTTCAGTGTTGACCCAACCTGCCAAAGGCTTGTCTCAGCAAGCCCCACAACTTCACTTCCGCTGTCCCGACACTTTCTGTGGATTTTTAAAGCATTTCCTTTCTTTGAAATAGAGTCTACTTCTTACTTATCCTGACACTTCCTCATTGAGTCACAGCTTCTAGTCTACCATCTTACCTGAAAGTCTGTTTATTTATTATACAAGGAATCATCTAAATTAAACAAATCCTAGAGTTCCAAGAGGTACGAGCCTAACAGGTACCATCAAATTCTAGTGCAAAAATAATTGTTCCACCGCCAGGTCAGCCATTGCCTCTGGACTCCATGGCTACAATGGGATGCTGGTGGGACTGCTGATGGCTGTGTTCTCTGAGAAGCTGGACTACTATTGGTGGCTTCTGTTTCCTGTGACCTTCACAACCATGGCCTGGTAAGGCACCTCCTTCTTTCTGCTCACAAATCCACTGGGCCCCAGAGGTGCTCACTGAACAGCAATGGGACATTCACTATTGTACAGTCATCTTCATTGACAGATGGTTTTGTCCAGCAAAACTCTATGAAAACACATAAATTCAGAAGCAACTCAGTGGAGGTATTCAGTAGAGATATGAGCTACCAGGGACCCTTTAAAGCAGCAAAAGACCACGTGTTTTATTATGCTGATAATCCCCCTTCGTTAATAATGGATGATTACATTTATTAAGTAGTCCTAAATACCAGGCACAATGTTAAGCAAAGTAGTTATGTTTGTTTCTAGTTTACAGAAGACCAAAGCATGTGGAAGGTAAGTAATTCACCCCAGACCATATGGTCAAAGTTTTGGAGTCTCTGGCTTTCTGAATCCAAAGTTTGTATTATTAAACTCAGCATAATTAAGAATTATCCACTGTGTATGCTAACTAAGCCTTAGAATCTGAAAACATACTTGTGATAGAATCAGAAGACTTTCTTGAAACAGAAGGTCTATATGCACGGCATAGAATCTTTGAACTAGAACTATCTGTTGAGATCTTACTCAAGAGGGAAGAGAGCTGGGAACAAATATTCCCTGAATATAGAGCGTACTTAGCTTTCACCCATATGATCCCAATTTCATTTAAATTTATAGCAGGTCAGTAGAGTGTCCAAATGTCCCAGTAGTGTGCTTGCTGTTGTACAAACCTTTGTCCCCAACCTCTGATTTCATACATCACTACCTCCCTGCTCTCAACTCCTCTCAGACATGGTGATTTATTCCTGTTCTCAGCAATAAATCAGACATAGTGATTTATTTTTAAAATCTCCAAGAAGTAATTGTCTTTCTTTGGTTTCAAAGTCTGGAGTTACTAAAACCAGTTAGTTCAATTTAGCTTAAGTACTGTTTCATTACCTTTTAGTAGTACTTGCAAATAAATTGCTACATTAAACATTCTGGGTGATTTATTTTTCTTGGGTTTCTATCTTCCTTGATAGAAAGGGACAAAAGACAAAGTGGTCATTTCTGTGGGAATTTTCTTAACACTTCCCACATGTCCCCCAGGGAGGAGCAGAATTTGTCCTCATTTGCATTTGGTTTATAACTACATGGGTTCAACCCCTCAATACAGTCCCCTGCTGCCACATGGCACCGGGTAACCGTTAAACTTCAGTGCCTCCAACCCCTACTTCGCAAACTAAAAACCAGAAAATCACTGATACCCTGTTCTGGATGGAGCTCTGTCCTACCTTCTACTCCAGTGCATTCATTAATCTACCCATGCAGCCCTTGAAATTCAGTCTATTTAGCATGGGTATTGGAAGTGGCATTCTCCAGATTTACCCAGTACATAAATATCTGAGTGTCTGAGACTTCTGAGCACAGGCACGATCCATGGTGATGAAGATACTTATGAACAGAGAGGAATCTCTCTACTACTCTTTGGGGAGCTTACATTTTTCTTGACAGAGATAGAAATAAACTTACAAATTAGTTGATTAAATGCCATTTCAAGATATGTTTAGTGCTTTGAGAAAAGTAAGAGTGATTCCAAACATAGGCTGTCAAGAAAGGCCACATTGCAGATAGTAGGCTTGAGCTCACCTAAATGATAGGAAGGCATGTGCCATCTGAAGGTCTAGATGAAAAACATCCCAGATGGAAGGCTTCAATTGGAGAAGTGAGGTGTGCCCAAGAAACAGACACAAGACCAGCAAGGCTGAGGCTCTAAGAATGTTAGAGGTGTGGCAGGAGGTGAAAGTAGATGAGGTCTCAGACACTCTGCACATCCAGTAAGTCGTCTGATGTTTATTACAGCTCTAATAAAAATGGAGCGCAGTTACAAAGTTTGAATTACTGCAAGATGCATACCATTAAAATTTAAATAAGCTTGCAAAGTGGAGAATGGATTTAGAGGGAGCAAGGGTGGATCCAGAAGCATTATTAGAAGCTGCTGGAAGGCTGCACAGAGACAAGAGTGCTTAAACTACAGTGAGATGTACGAATGTGGCCAGAAGGGATTGAGTTTGGAATTTCTTTGGGGAGACAATAGCAACAGGACTTTCTGGGAAGCTGAGGATATGAGTATCCAGTGCACTGCTGTGATTTGCCTGAGCACTGGGCTGTCAAGAAGAGTAAGAGCAAAACAGGGAGACAGAAGCAAATCCAAACTTCTGTGGAGACACACTACGCGACAGCCTTCCAAACAGATGTGGAGAAGTACTGACAGTACAACTCCAGAAGCTAATGACAGAGTCAAGAGTGGAAAGGCAGAAGTACGTAGAAGGGATTTCATCTACGGGACTAAAGACTATCTATCACCCAAGGGGAAGATTTAAGAGAGAGAAGATTCAAGTCAGACCCAAGGATCTTCCAACATTTAAGTCTGTCAAAAATGTAGGAAAGCCATGAAAGGAGATTTGAGAAGGAGCAGGCAGGGAGAAACTAAGAAAGCCCGGTGTTGTGGCAGCCCACACAGAAAGTATTTCCACACGGTATGAGACTCCAACTTTAAATTATGAGGAAAGGAGTGGTTGTGATTCTGCCAAGGTAGATGTCAAATGGTGAACTGGACAAGAGTCATTTTCTGAGTTGTAATTGTGAACACATACCTGATGGGACTGAATTCAGGAATGAGTGGAGCAGAGGTTGGCATAGTAAAGATTGACAGTCCTTCTGAGGAACGCTGCTGTCAAAGAAAGGGATCAGCAGTGAATAGGGAAGCAGCGGGGTAAGCACTAAGCTGAAGGAGGAGGTTCTGAAAGGTAGATGCTACTAGAGTGTGTCAGTCTGACAAAAATGATTTGGAGAACAAAGAAATTGAAGTTGCAATAGAGAAACAGGAGACTGTCACAGGAGTGAAATCCTTAAGAAGGATCCATCCCAAAGAACAGGGAAAAGAAATGTCCTGATAAGGGAACAGGGACACTTCCATCAAGCGCAGGAGATAGGCAGAGTATGTGGGATCAAAGCTGGCAGGGTGTGGGTTTTTATGAAAATGAAACATTTCTCATGTCATCACTTTTTTATGAAATAAACAAAGCCTTGTGGTTGACAGAGACAAAAATGGATGCAGATAGTAATAACTCAAAGACAAACATGAACTAGTGTTCCATGTGTTAGAGAGTTAATCCAGGCAAGTCCAAATTGCCCATGTGAGATTCATGACCAGTAATTAAAGACAGGCCATGAAACCAGGTCATGGAGTTTTCTGTTTTGTCCAGAAGTCTCCAAGTGAAGGAGATGAGAAGTATTATCTGGTGTGGCTAGTCCCTTCCAGGGAAAACTGAAGCTAGAGAAATTAGTTTCCTAACAATATTACTTGGCCTACAAATTATAGGAGCTGGGGTTTGTATCCAGATCCATCTGTGTCCAAAAATTCATGCCCTTTCCAAGGAAGAGACCCAAAAGACAGAGTATACAAACAACTGAAGGTTTCGTTTTATCTGCAGTCCCAGAGTAGCTCCCAAATAGTCCAAACCTGTGCATTGCCTACATGTCACAGTAGCCTCCTCCTAGAAGATCAGACTCAAAATGTTTACCATAGCCCCAGACAATAGCTGGTATACATCTTAGTGATCCAAAGGCAACAGTGGTGTTTTATAAGAGTGATGTTTTGTTTAGTTTTCTCAGTTTAAGGAACAAAGAAGTATTTTAATTCTTTCATAAACTATTCTATTCAAAATGTAATTTTTTTAATTTGTTTTCTCAAACTGAGCTCCGTATTTCCCAGTCCTAGACCACTGGAATTCCAAGGGCACCAATAATCGCTATGGCAAGGCGAGGGGCTTGTGGTTGGTACAATGGCCATAGATAAGACAAAATCTCCTAAAAGAAACTCACAGTGATTAACCCTTTGTCTCATCCATCTTCAGCCCAGTTATTACTAGTGCCTTGAATTCCATCTTTACCAAGTGGGACCTACCAGTCTTCACACTGCCTTTCAATATCGCCTTGGATCTGTATCTGGCAGCTACAGGCCACTACAACCTGTTCTTCCCCACAACCCTTGTGGAGCCTGTGTCTTCAGTACCCAATATCACCTGGACAGAGATTGAAATGCCTTTGGTAAGTTACTCAAGGGCAATGAGTAGAGAACCCTGCACTCTGCTGTGGACCCCTTCACTTACCAGCTTGCAGAGTACCCAGGTTCTCTCCTTCGCTAGAAACCATATGATAACCTCAGCAGAGATCAGAAAGGTCACAGCCACATCCTCACCTTCTTCAACACATCTCTACTGGACATGTAGCATGTGCCTGGAACTTTTTCAGTTACTAGTTATACACCTGAAATAAGCCAATGTCCCTTGCCTTCATAAAACCTACATTCTATACCAGAAAAGAGATAATCCACAGTGAACAAATATGTGTGATGCTGACAGTGCAAGATGGTTGTGGTTGAATGAAAAATATTAGATGAGATAGATAACTTGATAAAGAAGAGACTACATAAATACTTAAAATAAGGGTTGAATTGGGTATTGTCAATAGAAGACAGAGGGTGAATTTTTTACATAATCTCTGTATCAATGATTCAAGCAAAGGGTGATGGGTGATTTGCTCCTTAGAGGACTTTGGGCAATGTCTGAAAATACTGTCTATTGTCAAGCTTGGAGAGTGATGAGGATGTGGCTCAATTGTTAGAGTGCTTACCTGGCATGTACAAAACCCTGGGTTCGATCCTCGGAAGGAAAGCCAGTGAGATGACTCAGTGGGTAAAAATGCTTGCCATGCAAGTCTGATGATTTGAATTCATCTGAGTCAATCCCCAGAATGCACAGTGGAAGGAGAGAACCAACTGTCTCGAATTGTCCTTTGACCTCCTCATGTGTGGCATGGCACATACACATGCACACTCACACACATAATGTATACAAACACACACAATGATAATAACAATTACAAAAGAATAGTGCTATTAGTTTCTAGTGAGTAGAAGTCAAGGATACTGCTAAATATATCCTACAGTGCACAGAACAACTCCCCTCACCCGACAAAGCATTGTGTATCCTGGGATGCCAATAGAGCCAGAGTTGAGAAATTCTGCTTATAACCTACTTACAAATGTGAATGTTTATTTATTCCACTGATCTCTTTTTTTATTGACATTAAGAATAAAGGTCCAGGGCTGGAGAGATGGCTCAGTGGTTAAGAGCACTGACTGCTCTTGCAGAGGACCTGGGTTTGATTCCCAGCACCCACATGACAACTAACAACGGTCTGTAACTCCAATCCCAGGGAATCTGACACTGTTTTCTGACCTCTGAGGGCATTGCATGACACAGGTGCATTTATATGCATGCAGGCAATATACCCATACACATAAAATAGAAATAAATACAATATTTTTTAAAAAAATAAAAGCACATAATAAAAATCTACCATAAAACTAAGGACATAGATTTATAAAATTTTGGCCTTGTTAACAAATAGCTACCAGCTAATACTTTAGTATTATGTATAATACTTGTGCAAGATTATTATGTATCAGACATGGTCCCAAACCCTTATTACATTAACTCATTTCACTCTGTGTTCACACTTTACAGATGAGAAAACTGAGGCAGAGGAAGTTGTCTAAGGTCAACCTACAACTACTACCTAGGCTTAACACCCAGGCAGCCTAATGCAGAGCCCTAACTTTGAGCCCACCTATCATCTGATACCTTTAATTACTGGGGTGCTCTACACATTCCTTAATATCCATCTCCCTTTATATTTCTCCAACTTCTTCTAGCTCTGCTACCTAGAGCAACAAGGATATTGCTTCTGTGGTGGTTTTCTCTTTTTTTCTTTTGAGACAAGGTCTCAGCTGTCCTGAACATAGTATGAAAACCAGGCTGACCTCAATCTCACAGAGTTCCACCTGCCTCTGCCTCCTGAGTGCTGGAATTAAAGGCATGCATCACCACACCTAGCTTGTGGTAGTCTTTTGAATGTTTGAAAACTACCCAAGTCCTCAAATGCTGTTTATATGGTATGACTTTCAAGTCCTCACTGCCTGCTGTTTAGGTCTACCTGAACCTCAGTGTGGCTTTCTGCTGATGCTCAGCTCTACCACCCTAGAGTCCTCCAGAGACTGTCACACTCTTAGCCTAACCAAAAGAAGTGCTCCCCCCTCCAACTTCTGACGGCAAATAGCACAGGAGCTTTCTGAAATTGTCAGATTTTTAATTTATGAAAATTATACATTAAGTAATAAATACTTCAGTGTTTGACAAGCCTTTATTATTGGTATTAAATTTTTAAAATATTTTATTGAGTTTTTGTGCATTTCATATACTAGATCTTAATCAAATTTAGACTTCCTCCCTCATCTGTATCCCCATGCCCCACCCCACCAGATTTCATGCATTCTGTCATGTATGTTAAGCCCTTTCCAGTCAAGCATTTGTACCCAGAAGTCCTTCAGTGCAAGTTCATCCACTGGAATCTAGTCAGCCTGTCTAGAGTCTCTCCGTAAAAGAAGATCTACTCTCCCTCACCCAATAGTAAGTTGCACAACTGGTTGCACACAGAGAATGTATGTCTAAGAGATGCCCAGCTCTAAGTGACACATCCACAGTGAAACTTCTATACTTAACGTTCATAGAACATAGTAGAAAAGGGGTAGAGAGAATGCTAATACATCCCTCAACTCTTACCAGTGAAACTTCCTCATTCAACAGAGTGATGCACACAGATGGCCACAGCTGACTAAGTTTCAGAGAATGAAAGACTGCGGAGTGTGCATTCCTGGATAGGACTCCTATATTAAACTACACCCACCCACAGCTCAGGAACCATTGTGGAAGAGGGGGCAAAAAGATTTTAAGAGCCAGGGTCGGTGAGTGAACATAAGGAAACAAGAGGCTTTCAGGCTACTGGGAACTTTCTCACATGAACTTGAAACAATGGTGATAGCACGCACAAGACCCATGCTGACTCAGTCAGACAAACACCCAGCACAGAATGAGGGAAATGGGCAGCAGCCCCAACCCTCGCCTAGGAACTATTGGTAACTGGTATTAAGCTTTTCTCAAATACTTTTCCTAAAGAAAACTTTTCCTGTTTTAAAGCAGAAAGTTTAGTCTTTTAAGTTTTGTCTTGTTCCGGAGCTAAGTGCAGAGTAGGGTCAGAAACAAGGTCAAGGTCTAAACCCAAGAACTTGGAAAAGACAAAATCCTGCCTTTAAGGGAAAGTCCCCTTTCAGATGCGAAGGGGCCACAGCAGAGAGGAACAGGGACAAAGCTGACCTAGCTGCCATGGACTGGCCATCTGCCACTAGGCAAAGTGACCAACCCCATTGTCCACTGCCACAGGCACATGTGCACAACCTGAAAGGATCATCAAAGACTCAGCCCACATGCAATGCGCAGTGCTCAGGCAGCCAGTGTGGTGGGCCTCATGGAAAAGACACCTGCTGTTCATCATTCCAAGTACATAGGATATGGTTGATTCCAAATCTGGGCACCTTAAGGTCCAATCTTGTCCTCTCACTGCCCCACCAATTCATCACTCCAACAGAATTCTCTCCCATACCACCCAAAGCTGAGTTTTGAACAATCATTGCCATTTTCCTTTTTCTCTAAAACAACAGGGTGGAGGGACTTCCTTTTGTTTAAACAGCCTGTTGTTTGAGAAGTGTAAGAAGGAGGCCAGGTGCTTGGTAAATTTCCACTGCACACCTGACTGCCCTTTACCTCAGGTGTCATCTGTAGCCTGGGGAGCAGTGTGGAGCAAAGGTAGGTCACCCTGATGCACAGTTCACAGGCTAAAATACAGATCCCAGCAGGTACAGGAACTTCATTCTAAACCCAGGCTCTATTCCAAGGACTCTGTCCCCTCATTCCTCTCATTCTTGACTTGTTGGCTTGCTTACCACCTGTGTTCTGGGATGCAAAGGTGGATGTTGGATTTGCCTCAGCATTCCACATTCCTCGGATGTTATGTCCCTGGGCACCTGTTAGTAGACTTCTAGCCCATTCCCCACATGTAAGCTGAGCTCCAGAGTCTGGTACAAAGTATCAGCTGGGTCCTGATAAATAAGACTGAGCCCCAGGGCACCATTTCTTCCACATGCTTATGAGAGTTCAGTTATTGAAAGGCCCCCTATTAGGAAACAGGAGACATCAAAGTTTGAAAGTTCTCTGGGAATCAAAGACTATTCCCCAAAGAAATTATAGACACATTCTAAAATCAAATCATATTGAAAAGGACAAAAACTTATGGAAAAGCAGAACTGCAGTTGGCTCCCACATCTACAGTGGATCATCTACAATCCAGTGGACACCAAACTCAAGTGTACGTAAGCTTCAGTTAAGGCCAGGAAATACCACATTGCCATCAGTGTTGGAGCCAGGCACTGGTATATTGTTGTTGTTTTAATATCCCCAGTGGGTTCCAATGTACAGCAAGGTTTGAGAATAAATATGTGTTTATTAAACATCTGTTATATGCCCAGCCATAAAGAGTTCTATCCTCTTAGACATCCTATTAAATATAGAGCACACATATTAATCTAGAAAAGAATTACAAGAATCAGCCAGGTCAGACTCCCTCAGAGGACAAGTAAACTATGTCTTGATGGAGAACATGGTAAAGACCTTAGACTAAAAGTCAAGTTCAGAGGCCCTAAACCGTAGCTATTTGTCAAATCATCCATGAAAACAGCCTAGAAAATTTCCAACATTTCTAGAACATTTTTAGGATTTCAGGAAGTCTGAAAGCAATACCCTAGTGTCAGACACCCCAATGGCAGTCTAGGAAGGAGGTACATTCTGGTCCCGCCCCAAAGCAGAAGCCATGTGTTCCCCAGAAGCATCCGTGCCCAACTCCTGTGATAGGGGCTCCACCTGACTGCACGGCGGATACTGGATGCCTGGTAGGTGATGAAGTGAGAAGCTGTTTGTTCCAGCCTATGCCTTCTGTTTTCTCTCACGTGAGAGGGCATGGTCATCCTTCTGTTCCCCTTCATTACCCGCTCCAAGAATGGCCCAGTCTTGGCCTCAATGCTTCATCTTTGTATTATCTGCCTATGTTCCAGTGACCTGCATTCTGTTGACTTTGCAGCTGTTACAAACCATCCCTGTTGGGATCGGCCAGGTATACGGTTGTGACAACCCCTGGACAGGTGGTTTGATCCTGGTGGCTGTGTTTATCTCCTCACCACTCATCAGCCTGCATGCAGCCATAGGATCAATCGTGGGGATGCTAGCAGGTAAGACAGAACCCCTACTCTGCAGGGAAGTCTTTAAGAATATTTTCCTCATTTCATTTCTCCTCAACACACAGCAACCATGCTAGACTTATCTTCATTAGAATTTTAAACACTATCAGGGGTAGGGATCTATTTTTTCCTTTCTTGAGCCTCCTCCAAAGAAGGCAGATTGCAGTAGCAGAACATGTGGAGAAAGGCAAGGGTCTGAGTACAGAGCCCAGCAGCTGAGGGGATTGGAGGAGGGGAGCAGTTACAGCCCAAGCTAGGGTACACGTACACGTGACCCAGCACTTGGAAGTTTTGAGCAAGCTAAAAGGAAAAGTTTTCCTAAAATTGAATTGGCATTTCTCAAGTGTAATTTCATATTCCTACACATATGTATATGTATGTACACACATTTATATATGGATACGCTCTTTCCCACAATAGAGTCAGAAAATAGGGTAAGGGCCCTAGAGTAGAAGACTATTTTTAACTTATTCTAATGTTTTGCAAAGAGTTTTGGAAGCAGAACTTTCCAAAAATGTTTAAATGGAAATCATTTTAAACCCATCAAAACCTTATAAAAATAGTGCAAGAGGCATTAATCCATTACCCAAATTCGCTTATTGCTCACATCTGGCCTGTAGCTGTGACATTCCTCTATCAACATCTATCTATATGTGTATGTAATTTTTCTGAACCCTTTGAAACAGAGCTTTTTTTCATGGAAATGGTTGAAAACACAGCTGCTCGTGTTGAAGGGGAGGTGCTGATGTCCTCTCATACGCCCTCATCCTACATGTCATCACACTATTGTGAGAAAACTGGGGCTTTGGAAAACAACCTGGAAACTACTGCTTCCTTCTCACTGTTTGCTTTCCTAAGATTCATGCCATTTGCAGAGGCTCCTTTGATAAGCAAAGTTATATGTATGTAGAGAATGGCAGAAAGGAGGCCACCCTGAGTCCCTGCACAAGCCATGGCGAGCCTTTTCTTCCATGGTCCAGAATTATCCAGAGATGCCACACCTTCTTTCATAGCTCTGACTGTGGCCACACCCTTTGAGACGATCTACATGGGCCTTTGGAGCTACAACTGTGTCCTCTCCTGTGCTGCCATTGGAGGCATGTTCTACGCCCTCACCTGGCAGACTCACCTGCTGGCACTTGTCTGTGGTAAGTTTTCAAAACAGTGACAACCACACCCCTCTGGCCAGTCTTTCATTGGCTATAGCCTGTGCTAAGTCATCACCTAAATTGGTGGGGACAAGCTGTGAATTAACCACTGACTGACTATGCAAAGCCAAGATGAAAGTGGGGCAGGCATAAAAAAACAGGTAAATGTTAACCTCTGCCCTCAGAGAATGCATAGTGTTAGAGTAGATACATGCAAAGATAAGGAATGACCTCAGGCAAAAGCTAGATCAGGACACGGTGTAGACCCTGAAGCTGGAGAAAAGCCAGTTCTAAGTCTGAACTCCCCATTGTGCTAAGGCAGTGACTGGAGGAACGAACTAGAGTTGGGCTCTGGGAAGCTGACCCTGCTGGTCTTGTTCCTCTACAGCCCTGTTCTGTGCATACATGGGAGCAGCTCTCTCCAATATAATGGCAGTGGTAAGTTTGGATGCTCTGAACACTACCCTAAGGTGTTTCTCCCCACCAGAACTTCTTGGGGCCTTTTGCAAGAAGCCTGGGGGTTAGGGTTAGGATAATGGAATCTGGTAATTTACCCAATGTGTCTGTTAAGGTTAACCAGTCATTTAAAGAGAATTTTGTGCACAAAGTGCAAGGGTGAGTGCGTGTATGCGTGTGTTGAAAGGGAGCAGTGGAGAACGGGTATAGAAAGATGGAGCTCTAGAGCTAGGATAGGGAGCCATTCCTAGGTCAATTTTCAGTGCCAACGTTAAAAGATTCTGTCATATCTTAAAACCTATCGAATCAAGTTTGTGTACCTAGGTGTCCCCTCAGTGTTAGTTCATCCACTGGAGACAGAATATATTAAATCCTGTGGGTGGGTTATGGGTGGGTTGCAGATAGGGGAGGGGGCATAAATGATTAAGATTATTGTATGAAATCCACAAAAATTCAATAAAAAATATTCACTGAAAATAAAAAGATTCTCAGTGTGCCCAACCTATAGGAACAACACCTCAGATTCCTCTGACATTCTGAATTCAGGAGCACCAGTGCCTTCACTTGGAGGGTGGAGTGGGTCCCTCCTCAGCTCTACTATGTACTCCTTCCCAGGTCTCTGCCCCAACACAGGAGCCTGGAAACATTCTTCAACTCCAACGTTTCCATTTCTAGGTGGGCCTGCCACCAGGCACCTGGCCCTTCTGCTTCTCTTCCCTCATCTTCCTTCTCCTGACAACCAACAACCCTGGCATCTACAAGCTCCCGCTCAGCAAAGTCACCTACCCAGAGGCCAACCGCATTTACTTCCTGACAATGAAAAGCACTGAAGAAGAGAAACCCCGCAGTGGTGACTAGCGCAGCTCCAAGCGAAATACTCTTGCCTGGGCCTCTGTGGTTTCAACTCTGTGGCAATCAACTCAGTACACAATTTCTTTTGCTTTTCCTTGCACCTGTATCCAATCAAACACACCTGTTCCTCCCTAACCCTGAGACTGATTTTTCCCCCTCTGCCCTGATCTTCCTAACTATCCATTGTGCAATATTAAAGGAAATTGCTATAAGTTTGCCAGAATTAGGAAGTGGGGACTATGTCTATATGTTGTTGGCATAAAACATCATTTAGGACCAATGTAGAGATGTTGTAGAATTTATCCTGATGAGTGCCTCCTAAGCAGACATGGAACAGGGATAAGTCAGGCACATGCTAAGAAGTAAAACCACCCTAGCATAGAGCTATTAGTTGATGAGGACATACAACTTTACACAGAGGAAGGGCTTTCACAGTGATGGAAAAGTCAAGACATGGACAATTGGAGCACAGGAAATACACGAGTTTGAGCATTCAAGCTTTCCCTTCCACTAGCAGCTATGGTGCCTTTCCCAGCATGCATAATCAAAAACATATGTCTCTATTATATAAAAATAATGTTAAATAACTTACCCTAAGGACATACCCCACTTCTCCAATGCCCCTTCCCCAATCTAAGGAACTAAAGCCTCCATAGTCTTTTCCTTTTCCTGGACCCCCAATGCCCACTTTCAAAACACTTGCATTTCTCTAGCTCAACTTGTACTGTTTGTCTTTTTTAAATATTTTCCCCTTGCAATATACCTCTTCACTTTGCAAGAATCCTTACTTAACCTTGCCTCACACATTCCCAGAAATGTTATCCTTGTCCATTTGGAGTTCACTGTTTGTACTGGGAATTTACTTTTTAATCATCCTTTCCTCTTATTTAAAATTTTCCCCTGCCTTATGAGCTCTATTCTTTTTTTAATATTCTTTTCTTTAATTTTATTTATTATTTTTATTTCAGGTGTATGCGTGTATTGCCTGCATGTAAGGGCATGCACCCGCATCATGCAATGCCTGCAGAGGTCAAAAGAGGCTGTTAGATCCCCTGGGACTGGAGTTACGGACAGTTGTTAGCTGCCATGTGGGTGCTGGAATTCGAACCCGGGTCTTCTGCAAGAATAACCAGTGTTCTTAACCACTGAGCCATCTCTCCAGCCCCATGGGCTCTATTCTTATCCATATGTTACTTATTTAGAATTCTTCTTAAGTATCTTCTTCCAGTAACACAGAAAGGTGATATAGTCTCCAAGTCTTGGCATGTCCACAAAGACTTGTCCTTGGCAGGTGAATGTCATTATGTCCGGTCATGGAGTTCCCACGGCCTGTAGAGGTTATTCCTTCATTTTCTGCCTCTCCAGTGTCACAAATGAGAAATACAGTTCTTTTACTTTTGTAAATCACCTTTCTTTCTAGTGTTCTCTTTATCTTTAAAGTTCTGGAATCCTATAGTTAAGCCTAAAAGTATATCTTTTCTCATTTACTCTGCCTTTCTACTTACAAACCCAAGCCTTTCTTTAGCTCAGAAATTTTTCTTCCAACATTTCTGTGATTGCTACTTTTCTTCCACTCTTTCCTCTTCTGAGTCTGGAACTTCCCTATGCACATGTTAATCCTTCCATGTCTCTGTTCCAAGTTGTCTACCTTCCTCCTCACTATTTTACCATTTATATTTTTGCTTTGGGGTATTTCTTCCCCTTGATCTACCAGCCACTGATTCAGTTCCCAATCTTTCTTTTCTTCAGCTCAGCAGACACATTGAATTTTTAGTTCAAAATCATGGTTTTGGTTCTAGAAAATCTTTATGGGCAGACTGAAGTCGAATCACTATGTGTGCTCTTATTATTCTTTTGTAGTTGTCTAATTCCTCCTGCATCTGAAATCTGGTATCTTGTGACCCCAAACTTCATCCCATTCTCCCCATTCCATCCCAGTTGGGCTCCCCTGTTGATGGCCCAAGGCTACCTACTAATCCTCATAACCTGACAACTCTGCCTTGTGGCCTGATCATATTTGCTCATTCACCCAAAAGATTTTTCATATGAAATAATAATATGTTATTCAACCCTAGGCTTGACATTAAACCAGGAAAGAATCAAACCAATCCCTGCCTTCAAGGAATTTATTTTACGGGGTTTTGCTGGCTAATTGAATCCTCTCACCTGAGACAAAGATGCTGGTCAGACAGCTGGAGCCCACTTACATTCACAGCACCGGATTTCATCTGAGGCAGTTATTTGGTTGGGCTAGACTTCTGTTTAGGAATTGTATCAGGCATGATTTTAAGGATTCCAGGAAAATTTCTGTGCCTCTTTCCTCTAGTCCCCAGTGTTTCTCTTGCCTGCTACCCAAGCATTCCCAGCCATCCCTTTAATTTAAGGCTTTGAATCTGTTAAAATGTAAACAGTCCTGGGCAAGTCACACAGTAAGCATGATCGGTCATTTGCATCTTAGATGGTAGGAATCATTTCTGAGAATAGGTTTGATTTTTTAAAGGAGGGAGAGTACAAAGAAAACATGGGCAGCATAGTTTGAACCAATCTTTGATGGAAAGGGGCATGCATAGATGAAACCAAGCAGGGTGGATGAGGTGCTGGAACACCCCTACCCTTCTGGAAATGATGATGGTGGTGGCTTAAAAAAGAAAAATGGCTGAAGCAATGGCTGTCTGCAGCAGGAAACTTGAAAACACAACATAGGCAAGCCGAACCTGCAAAGACACATGCTATTTATAGCAATGCAACTTGCCTGAGCAGTGGTGCCCTCTGAGACTCAAGTCCCTGCCCAGGCAACACAGGAGCCACTGGAGACCTGTCAGGGCACTTGTTTGGGGGGGCAGAGGCTAGACTGGGTTACCACTGCAGCATCTCTCTTTCAACTCTAAGTATCTGTGATTCAATGGCCCCAAGTTCCTACATGGGAATGAAGAAGAAATATCACTGAGGTGGCAAAATCATCCAAGCATGGAGACAAGAGGTACCAAAAACACATCATTATTACCTTAAAGCTTTTCCTAGTTTGACCACTTAAGCATCTGATCAGTTTACCAAAATGCTCACTCCAATTACCTGTGTGAACACAAGCTAGAGGAACAACATCACTCAGTTGAGTTTGTCCTTCACCTGCTGCTCCGCAGCCAGCCCTCTTCCCTCTGAAGCGTTCTTATTCTGTTCGGCCCCCTAAGATCTGTCCACTTTGTCTTCTCAGATTGCATCAGTGACCACATCAAACCAATGTGCCCCCACATGCCAGTGTGCTCCCTATGTGACTCTGAGCCTTTCTTCACTCAAGTCTCAAATGCTATGAGGGACCTGGATATAGCTATCATCTAGAACCAGGTTGGGGTGGCAGTTTCACAGGAGCCGTGACTTCCATTTAATAAACCACAGTCTTATTTGGAAACTCCTTTAAAAGTATCCCACATTTTAGGTGAGGTTTTTCTTTTTTTTTTTTATTGTGTTTTTCCTACCTCCAGTCATTCCAAGAAGATAAAGGAATCCATAGGGTCCCCTTCTATCTAAAGTGGAACCAGGCTGTAAGGAATGGGGTGCAGGGAAAGGACAAGTCCTTTTGAACCCTTTATGAGTTGAAAACAGCCCCATTCTCTTCCTAAGTCCACATGGGCTGCTGTAGAGAAATAGGACCAAGGAAGGAGCACTTTGGAGCATTGTAGCCTGGGCTTGTATTGACTCCACAAAAAGTCTGGCCCTTTGCTCAGAGGAATCTGACTACCCCCAAGTTTAGACCCTGGTGTTAATTTCATTCTCTTTCCTCTTCAAGCTTGACATTCTGAAGAAAACTTCATTCTGAAGTGATTGAAGTGAATGAGACTTCAAGACAGAGTTTGTAGGTATAGAGTCCATAGAGCTCAAAGTGTCCTTGGTACTGAGCTAGTATTTTATAGGACCTGTTAGGCACAAGATTGCATTGTGGCCTTCTGCTTTCTAGGACAACACTTGATTATCTCCCCCAAAATATTTCATGGGTATAACACGTGTGCCTGAGAGATACTGTACTATACTATGGTTCTGTTTAACTCATGAACCCAGTGTGAGCTTCCTAGGTGGCTTCTTGAGGGGTGACCATTCCTCTCTCTCCAGCTGGCAGCATCTTGTTCACAAGCAGCATCTTGTGTTCTATCTGGAATAACCAGGATGGGAGGCTCAGAAAGCAGGGGTGAGCTTATTAGTTCAAGAGCCCTTAGGAGAGGCCAGAGTGAGAGAGCAAAGGACAAGCATCCAAGATTGAGCTGAGACACTAGATGGCAGGGGACAAAGAAAAAGAGAAGGCTTAAGTGTGGTCAAAAGCCTGCCACGGGCCCTAGAAGGGCCTGTACATGGAACTGGTCTGCTTTCTACCAGCTCACGGCCTGCCCCTGGAATGCGAGGGCCCCTGGGCTCTCCCCACCCTTTTGTTTTCTTTTCTTTCTCAGAAGGCCCTCCTTGATCAGGACCCATCTTTGGGAGCTCCAAAACACCTGGTGTAGGAGGGGAACCCTTGACGTCAGCATGAAAGTTTGTCTACTCAGGTGGAGCTAATGTCTTTGGTATGAGGTGTCATTCTGATCCTGGGGAGGCTACTGCCTTCCAGCCCTAAGCAAACGCTGGGGCAGTATGTGAGTGTGGGGGTTGATGAACTATCTTACTCATGGAGCCAAACAAAACATGTTTTGACAGAGTTCCTTCCCCAACTCAGCCCACCAGACCCATGGCCTCATGGGACTTGGGAGAGCCAGCCTCCCTAATATAAGGACTTTAGGGTTCATTCTGGTCACAGACATTAGGCCATCCTTTTCTTGATCTGAGAGGGTCCTAGTGAGCCACTGGAATCCTAATCAAGAAAAGTCAGGAGGAAAGGTCTGAAAATTTCCACAGAAAGACCACATCTAGTATTGGGCTGTGCAAATATTTCCATTGAGACACTGATGGCAGCTCTCTTCCCCAGCCTGTGCCCTGCCTGTTGGGGAGTTAAGAGTGCTGATTGAGGTTGGAAGG